ATGATGGATGGATGTTGAATGATGGATATCAGATGTTGGATGATGGATGGATGTTGAATGATGGATGGATGTTGAATGATGGATATCAGATGTTGGATGATGGATGGATGTTGAATGATGGATATCAGATGATGGATGTTGAATGGACGGATGTCAGATGTTGGATGCCAGATGACGTCAGATTTCAATTCTATTCAGTTTATTTATATAGCGCCAAATCACAACAAAGTTGTCTCAGGACACACATGCACAAACGTATAAAAGCTCTCTGTCTAAGGAATGATGACGTCTTTCATTTTAAATCCCTTCAATAATCGGCGCTGAATGTTTCTGCTGAGAACTTGTTTGATTGCAGCTGTTCACCGCCCCCTGCTGGTCGTGTATAAAATTAGTAACTAAAATGAGATTTAAATTGTTTTGTTTAAAAAAATTTTATGTAAATACTGTATTCTAAAATTAACCTGAACTCTGTTCCAGTTGAGGTCTTTAAAGAGCCATTTCCACCATCTCTCCTTTTATGATTGAGCCACAAAAAATCAACTTGAGCTTTAAAATAAATTAGTTCATCAATTTGTTGATGATTTATAACTTCATTGCTTTCAGAGGGACATGCTCTTCATCTCTACTGACTCTAAGCACCGTTAGATTTTATTTTTTTCTTGAAGTCCTAATTTGATGCCTCCATCAGGTGCAGAAAATTACAATCTGCCTGAAAAATGTTGAAAAAAAAGTCATTTTCAGGAGAAACTAAAAATAAAACTGATGGCTGCATTTTAGAGAGGCGGAGACGAAAACATCTACAAAAAAACAAAAATAAATAAATAAATAAATAAATAAATAAATAAAATATAAAAAAAACACTTCCTTTTTTTTTTTTTGCATTTTATTTATTTATTTATTTATTTATTATTTTATTTTTTTATTTTATAAACAGCATTTACAACAAATATGGCAACAAAATCAGAGATATTCGAATCGGAATTTTTTGGGACTTTCTGGTTCCTGTCTGTTCTGGTCACAGTTTGGGTTCCTGCAGAGGGTTCCTGCAGAGGGTTCCTGCAGAGGGTTCCTGCAGAGGGTTCCTGCAGAGGGTTCCTGCAGAGGGTGCGAAGTGCCACGTGTGGCTCCAGAGCCACCGTTTGCAGAGCCCTGATGAACTGTACCGGTCCTGTACGCAGCTCGTGTCTGATCAATATCTGTAAACTGTAATAATCGATCAATTTATTAAATAACTTGTAAAATGACAAAAGATTTGTTTTATGGAGACAAGAAGTTTCTGATTATGGAGGTCCTGATTGATTGATTGATTGATTGATTGATTGATTGATTGATTGATTGATTGATTGATTGATTGATTGATTATGTTGTCTGATGTTAACGTTTATTGGCTGAGAACTAAATATTGTTTTGTATGAATTAGCTTTTAGCTCATGTTTTGTTAGCTTCGGTCACTTCTTTGGATCGGTCAGGATGACGTCATGGACAGAATAAAAACGCTCTCGTGAGGAGTCCATCTGTCTCCCTGCTCCTCCTGGTTTCTTTTCTAAAAAGTAAACATCGGAATTTATTTGATAATATTTTAAATTTGTTTGTTTCATCAGTCATTATTTTAATTTTATTTTTTTATTAATAAATACACAGAAATAGAGAACACTACAAAATAGAAAGATATACACAAACACTCGTGAAGGGTGTCATAACTACAGTTTACAAGCTGGGGGGGGGGGGGTTTACAAAATGATGAAAATTGAGAAATACATTATAAAAACACATTAAATGAAAAAAAGGAAACAAACAGGAGCAAGACAATATGAGAATATTCATCCGTCATTATGATAACAGGTAATTCAGGTCAGGGTTTCCGGTTTGTTGTTCGCTGGAGGGGATTCAGCGCACCTGTCTACGTCACACCTGTGTCGGGGCGGGGCTTAAGGTGAGAAGATGAGCTTTGAGTTCAGCAGGAGCCATGATGAGTTGACTGTCGGACGTTCTGGACTCACCTGTTGGCGGAACCTCCGGGATTTTAAACATTGTATTTATTGTTTTTTTATTTTCCATCGCCGGAGCTTCACCTCCTCTGAGCCTCCACCTGTCTACCTACCTGTCTGTCTCCGAGGACTCGCCATGAGGAGTCCACCTGTCTCCCTTCTCCTCCTGGTTTCTCTTCTAAAAGGTAAACATCTGGATTTATTTGATGATTTTATAAATGTTTTAGATTTATTTTGACCTTCCGTCACTTTTACAGGAATTCACCTGAAGCAGTTTATTTAAACCGGAAAGTGCAGGTATCGGTCACGTGACCAGACGTGTTATCATTCAGAACCACTCAGGAACATCTTGTTGTGGACCTTTTATTTAAAGTCTTCAGTGGGTCTTTATCAGAGTCCTCCTCGCTCATGTAGATAAAGTCTTGTTGTGTCGCCGGAGCTGAAGTTACAGGTGAGGACAGGTGAACTGGTTTCAGCTGTATCTCCTCGCGCCTGGAGTTTCGTTGGAAAATGTTTCCTCGTTCTTTGTTTCACCGGTTTTACTGGTTCCGTGAGTCAAAGACGAGCTGCTGGTTGAACTGAGGAGTCCAGTGTGTCTCCCTCCTGGGATTAAATTAGTTCAGAATAACATGAGTCCATCATGTCCTGGGATTAAATTAGTTCAGATTAACACAGAAGAGTCCATCATGTTTAAATTGATTCAGATAAACACAGAAGAATCCATCATGTCTCCCTCCTGGGATTAAATTAGTTCAGATTAACACAGAAGAGTCCATCATGTCTCCCTCCTGGGATTAAATTAGTTCAGAATAACA